GCAAGGAGCTGTGCTTTCGAAGGCATGTTCTTCATTTGCATAATCAAATGCTTTGTTAGTGTCCTTGGAAATTAGGATGAAAGATGACTGTGTGCTAAAAATGAGGAATTGTTTTTAGCAAATTATGTGTATCCAGTACAACAGCTGAGCTGCTCTGGGGCCTGTTTGATGTGTGTTGGCTGCTGCACGAGCAGCCTCCTCCCTCCTGGCAGGAAGAGCTCCTGGCACCTGCCTTCCCCTTCCAGATACTGCCCTGACCAAGGTCTAATCAATATGAAATGGACAATCAGGGCTGCAATCTGATTCATTATTTCAAGTCTTGTGAAGTGCTTGTGAAGAGGTGGTGGTCTGTGGGGTAGATGCATTCCAGGACTCCAGAGATGTCCTGGGGGTTTGTATTGGTTGTGACAGTTTGTACCAACTCCCCACTTATCTATGGTAAAGCTGGAGAAAATGGGTTTGAAAGATCTGGGGTTTTTATCTTGCATTAAGAAGTTTGGAGAAAATTTGAGTTAGGCAGATACAGTGTTGTTAAGAGTTCAACCAAAACAGTGAAAGAAAATTAATACTGTTTTTAAATTAAATTATGGTATATAATATTTCTTTGTCAGGCTGAACGCTCAGTCCCAAAGATAATGCTGCAGAATACTGAAAACTCCTATAATTTTCCCACTTGTGCAGTAAGGACTTTGAACTTAGTCCTAAACGTTCCTCTCAGGAAAGTGGAAAATTTAGTGCTGGTTCTGAGTTGATCTCTGAAGTTGCCCAAGGCCAGGCGTGGAGGCTGAATCTGGATGCAGGCAGAAGGAGGAGTGACAGGATATGGTACAGCCTCCTTTCTGGATGGCATCCAGACCTGGCTGTCTCACACCTGGACACGGAAAAGTTGGATGATTTTATCTTCGGGAAAAAAGTTTGGCCACTGTGAGTTTGGCATGGTCCTGCAGCAGTGTCCCTGGGGGGATTTCATCCCCAGGGCCAGGGATGCCCGGGGCACTCGGGACTGGCCAGGCCGGGGTGGCCATGGCACACCCTGTGCTGGCTCTTGGCACCTCCTGTGCTCTTTGGTGCTCCTGGACCCATATGCAAACACCTTGGCCAGGCACAATGAGAGAGTTCTGCATGGATGATTCTCTGGGAATGTCACATCTGGCGATTCCAACAGGGCCTTTTTGTCAGTGGAGAGCAGCTGGGCTGTTCCTGTGGCCGTGATGTTCCCAGTAACCACCCCTGGCCAACCTTTGCCTCTTTTGGTCCTTGCAGATGGGACAAGGGAGCCAGAATGCAGAGTTTGGGGTCAGATTTTAGTGATTTGCACATTAGGAAGAGAGACAGTGATGGAAAGCTGCATATTGCCTGTATTTATTATACAAATCCATGTCTCCAGAGGGAAGTGTTTGCTGGCCCTCCCCAGTGCAGAGTCTCTCTGGGTCACCTGAGTCACTTGGGTTACCTACAGGTGTCCCCAGGGTGGCCTTGGCTGCTCCCTGCTGTGATGACAGCAGGGTCACATGGAGGGGACTGGAGTTTTTAAGGCACATCAAAGGGTACAGGAATGGAAGATAGTGAAAGCTGCATTTCCTGTCTGGGAAATGCTGACGATCCTCAGTCCTCAGCATCAAATTCTGGCTTTATTCCTTTTTCAGTGTAAGACTGGCTGTTGGTGGATGCAGTATCAACCTAGTGGAAAAAGGGGAGCCTGTGTCAGCATGGAAGTTACATCACAGTCACTGCTCTCCTGAATCCCAGTGCAGTAATTCCAGTTTATCCAAAGCAGAGTGTGGAGACAGCCAGCAAATGGAGTTAGCTTGGTGCTTGCTAAGCTGTTGGGTGGAGATAAATTCCTCTGATGATAAACAATCTCAGAAAGTTGGGTTGTCAGTGTCATAGTGACATTAAGGGTTGTTCCCCCCAGAGTTTTTGCACTGAGGCAGTCAGGGTAGGAAAAGAGCAATCTTGTCTGTGTAACCTTGAAGTGCTGTTGATGAGGACTGGAGCCCTCCTCATGAAACCTGTGATTGGTGGCGTTTATCACTGAGGGGGGATTTCAACTCCCCAAATAGATGCAGTGGGCTGGAGAATTGGTTCTGATTTATCCATCATGGTTATCAGCAGGCAGGGCTGTGTGTGCTCGGCCTCCTGCACAGCTGGGCTGGGGCACAGTGTGGGTGCACTGGTGTCACACAGGAGAGGCAGAACCCACAGGCATGGCTGCTGGGAGACTGGGAATAACATTTATTTTACTGCAGGCAGCATCTCCCAAGGGCAGACTCACAGGGATGGCACTCGGGGCTGTGCAGTGGGGGTGTGAGCAGCAGCAGGGAACACCCAGGAGACAGGGGCATTCCCAGCCCTTTTCTCCCAGGGAGGAGGAGCAGATCCCAGCATTGAGCTGAGCTGAATCAATGTGACACATGAGAGAGGCTAAAGGAAAGGAGTTAATGAATGCACTAAGAGCAAGGTGTTCCCTGTAGGTTTGAAAGTATCACCTCTGCAGGATTTCCAGACCACCTGCTAGAGCCATGTAGTAGGGCATTGCAGGTGACAAGCCTGAGTCCTCAAAGCCATTGTGTAAAAAAACCCAACAAACCCAAAAACTTGTAACTCCTACAGCCATAAGGACTGGGAACGTAGATCTATCTATTCCTGCGCAAACTGTTGCTCATTTCTCTCCTTCTGGGGGACCTGCCTTAACACATGTGTGGATCACATTCTGTGGTATTCATATTCTCTGAACAGAGAGAGACATAATTCTCTCTCCCAGGATTTTTCCTGGGGAAGGCAGTGAGAAGCTCAGAGAAGAAGAGAAAACAGTTCTTATCTCTGCTTGCTGCACCTGTTGTTTGGCACATGTGGAATGTGTTATGGAGAGTGTTTACCCAAAGTGATTTGTTAATTGGACACTGGTGAAGGTTGTTTTGATTCCTTGGCCGATTGGGTCAAAGCTCTGTCCTGGCTGTCTCAGACAGTCATGGGTTTTTCTTTAGTATTCTTTTAGTATAGTATCTCTTTAGTATGTAATTTAGTATAGTATTATTGTAATATAGGTATAGCTTAATAAAGCAATTGTTCAGCCTTCTGAATCATGGAGTCAGAGCACGTTATTCCCTACATTGGGGTCACCCGGCATCGATAATATTCTAACTTGTAATAATGTTTGATCTAAGAGGATTGATCCAAAGAGTTAATGGGAGCAAAGTTTCCTTTACCAAGAACCTGCAGTTTATTGCAGTGAGATAGACTGTGGGCATATGGCAGAGTAATTGTTTTTATCCCTCTAGAGTCCCACTCTTGCCCTCATAGTCATCCCATCCAAGCTGATGGAGAAGCCTCTGTGCCTGTTACAGGTATTCCAGGAGTGATTAAAGAAGGTCCTCATCAAATAAGCCTGTTTGCCTTTCCCCCCTCTTTCTTGCTTCCTTTTTCTCCTTTTTACCTCCCTTTTGCTTCCCTTTGTCCCCTTTTCCCCCACCTCCTGTGTACAACCTATGAAAATCCTCTGCTTTACCAGGCTGTTCACCCTTGCACTGGGCCTGTAAAACACTTACTGAGCATGTCCTGGTGTGGTTTATTTTTGATCTGTTAATGAAATGAAACCCAAATGATGCCACATTTGTGACACATGGCTGCCAGGCTGGCTCCAGGGATGTGATGGTTGGCAAACATGTGCCCAGGCCATGGGCTGGCAGAGTTCACTCCCCATCCTCTGAATTTCACTCCTTTACTTCAGGGTTTGCACAAAGGAGCTGTCAAAAATTTTCTCTGAATGGATATTCTTTCATTATGCATTTAGTAATTTTACCCCTTAAAATAGGCAGAAGGAGGAGTAAGGTTGTCTTGTCTCAGGGTTATTTAGAACACTGGACACTTTTTAAATTCTAAGTTTGTCCCAAGCCCCTTCAAATCTTGCATATTTTCCTTGGGCTGTGTTTCTGTAGTTGCTGAAGGTGTAAGTCCAACTGTTCCAAGCTGTTGTGCAATATGGCCCTAAATGGGTTTCTGATCCCCCACCTGTCTTGCACCTTTCTCAATCTTGGGTCAGCAACATTCCCCTGGATTTGTTCCAAGGGGTGCCATGGATCAGATCCACACTGGCGCAAGGCTTGGGGAGCAGTTCCAATGGGAAATTGCTGTGGAGCAACGGTCAGCAAAACTCCGATGTACGGATGTTAAAATTATAATTATATTAATTATTATTAAAGAGTTGGGAAATAGAAGTAAGTTTCTCCATGGTCAGCCAAACCAAAAAAGCCTGGGCTGCTGCTAGTGTGCATTCAGATCTTGTGTCCTGGGAAGGAGTCTGGAGCCCCAGGAGCAGCTGAGGGAGCTGGGAAGGGGCTCAGCCTGGAGAAAAGGAGGCTCAGGGGGCCCTTGTGGCTCTGCACAACTCCTGACAGGAGGGGACAGCCGGGGGGTCGGGCTGTGCTCCAGGGAACAGGGACAGGAGGAGAGGGAACGGCCTCGGGCTGGGCCAGGGGAGGATCGGGGTGGACACCAGGAGGAATTTCCCCATGGAAAGGGTGCTCAGGCCCTGGCACAGCTGCCCAGGGCAGTGGTTCAGTCAACAACCCTGTTCAAAAAACATGTGGATGTGGTACTTGAGGACATGATTTAGTGGTGAACATAGTGAGGGATTGAACTTGGTGGTCTTAAAGATCTTTTCCAATGTTACCCATTCAGTGAGAAGCACGGAGCTCACGTAGTGTTGGCTCCCTCAGAGGATCAGTTCCCTCAGCTTGTTCCATCATGAGGGAGTGATGATGAGTAACAATGATGGAGAACAGCAGCACTGAACAGGGGTCTGCCTTCTCAGCCACGTGCTTTATTTTGAGGAGAGTTACTGGGGCAGGTGGATTTAATTCAGTTTCATGTTCGCCTGGATGGTTCTTGATGGAAACGAAATGGAGCTGCCCGCTCGGAGTGTGAGTGGCCCAGCAGTGGCTTTGGGTTGGGCTGTCTGTGTCGCATGTAACCATCTTCTCTCTCTGTTGTTGTTGCAGATAAAGAGGTGGGAGTTGGCGCACTTGCTGACAATGACGACCCTGGTGCTAGGGGCCCAGCTGTCCCCAAAATATCAGGACTAGAAAGGAGCCAAGAGAAGAGCCAGGATAGCAGCAAAGACCCAATACTTGAGCCTGTGGTGCCTAAAGACCCCCGTCCTCAGGTGACGCCGCCACCTCTGGAGCCGCCTCCCGAGGGCCGCTGCCCCAGCCCCGCGCTCGCCCCGCGCCCCGAGGCTTCGGCCCCAGCGCCCGCCCCAGCCGTGCCGGTTCCCCCGGCCTCCGAGGAGCCCGGCCGCCCGCCCGCCAGCCAGCCCTGTGGTCAGCCCTGCGGCCAGCCCTCCGGCCAGCCCCCGGCCGGCCAGCACCCGCCGCGGCCGCAGTCGCCACTGCCCCCGGCACACCCGGCCCTGCCCGCTGTGCAGCCCCACCCTCAGAGCCTCTCGCAGCCACTCTCTGCCTACAACAGCAGCAGCTTGAGCCTCAACAGCTTAAGGTAGGTGTACAGAGAGGGGTCGGGGATGCTGGGCTGAGCCTGGAGGGGAGCTGGATAAAGAAGAGACAGCGCTGCCTATCCCATCCCTGGGAAATAAAGGGCACTCAGTGCACGTAACCTCGATTCTTCCCAAGATGAGCCAGGATCACTCTCTGTGACCTGATGATCCCTTAAACTGGGTATTTTAAGTTCATTTGCTCTGGATTTTTTTCCCTGCCAGACTTGGGTTTTTGGAGGGAATTCTACACAGTGTAGATCAGGGGAAGAAAAGCCCAGTTCCTACGGGCTGGGCTGCTCTCTGAAGGTTGACAGCTTTGCCCTCCCATCCCTGTAAATACCTGATTTCCCCAAGTGCTGCCATGCCTCAGGGCGAGGAGCCTAGGAGCCCCTCAATGAAGGTGCAGCTGGTGACAGCCCAGCACCAGCAGTCACACACTAGGCACTTCACAGATCCATGTTTTCCTGCACTGCTGACACCTTGCAGGCTTCAGTGTTTTTCTCTCACCTGGCCATGGTGAGATCAGCCTCACCTTTTATCTGTGGATAACAAAGATAAGCAGTGAGATTAAACACCATGTGCACAGGAACCCGTGATATCCCTCTGAGTCAGGGACCTCAGCTTTCCCGTACTCTAAGCTGGCTTGCAGTTCTCCAAATCGAGCTCCCAGCAGGCAGGTGTGACATTCAAGACCTGAGGAAGTATCACTGTGGTTGCTTCATGGTTTGACTAAAGACTGGGAGGTGTTTAAGACCTGGATTTATTTTTAACCAAGCTGGTATTGCTTGTCTTTAAAAGTCACTGCAATATAAGTGTGTTGTTAGTTGAAATAAAGACAAGGAAAATTAAGCCTTCCATGAATGTATTTTAAATACTCATTAGTAGGAAATGAAACCTGAAAAATTGCAGCCAGTGTAATCACAAATATTTCTTTTCTTGACTCATCTTATCTCATTTTATTGTGGGGTAGAGAGGGACATTACCTGTACAATAAGCTGTTGTTGCCTTCTCAACTTGATTTCACATTTTCTGCAGTCTTTCATCTTAGTAATTCACTTTAAAAACAAATTTAAATTTTTATTAATGCAGTGATTTTGAGCTTCATTTGCCTGAAAACATGAACCAGGGGCAGTGATGTAGAAAGGACCTGATAATTAAGTCATGAATGCACAGGGCTGATTACTCCTTTGTGCTGTTGTGGGACAATACCAACCTCTTGCAGCAAGGGAGAGCCCAGCTCAGGTGTGTGGGGACCACAGGAAGTAAAAGATCCCAGAGCAGGTGGTGGAGAAGGGGTACCCCAGTGGTAGGAGTGGAAACGGTAACTGGGATTTGTAGCACAGTGTTTGAGGTGAGGAGCTGCTGAGGTTGTGTGTGTATGTGTGCTGGGGCTGTTCTCTCCCCTGACGGCTCCTCTCTCGTTAACAGCAGCAGCAGGAGCAGCACCCCCGCCAAGACCCAGGCGCCTCCCCCGCACATCTCGCACCACCCGTCGGCGTCGCCGTTCCCGCTGTCCCTGGCCAGCCACAGCCCCCTGCACAGCTTCCCGCCCGCCCTGCAGCCCCCCGCCCACCCTCACCACCCCAATATGTTTGCCCCTCCCACGGCTCTGCCCCCGCCACCCCCGCTGACCTCAGGGACGCTGCAGGTTCCAGGACACCCAGCTGGGAGCACTTACTCAGGTGAGAGCCGTGAGGGACACTCAGCTATGGGGCTGGGCCTTGTGGTGTGGAGGGGCTGTACTGACTGCTGAACACAGTGACAGCAAAGCCAGAGAAACACCTATGCACAGCCAGGGGCATTCCCTCTGCCCCAGGAGGGATGCTTTGGGAAGGCTGTGCTTCTCCCAAGTTTGTTTTGTTCAACCCACAGTGAAATGTGGCTGAGTTCATGAGGTGCCCACACGGAATCTGTGCCCCCCACAGCAAAGGTCTTCATGCAGTTGTGGTCTGTGCCCAGCAGTTTCCCTGGCTGCAGGGAGGGTGTGTGCTGGCCGAGCTCACAGCAGTGCTGGGCTCAGGTGTGTTCAGAAGGTTTGGGTTGGAGGGACCTTAAAGCCCATCCAATGCCACCCCTGCCATTGCAAGGACATCTTTCACTGTCCCAGGCTGCTCCAAGCCCTGTCCAGCCTGGCCTTGGGCACTGCCGGGAATCCGGGGGCAGCCACAGCTGCTCTGGGCACCCTGTGCCAGGGCCTGACCAGGTCACTGAGGGGAAGAAAATGGAGCATTTGTGTAACATAATTTTGTGTCCATGCACCAGGATGCTCCTTGAGGAGCAGCCACTTTTTTGCTCACTCCAGTTTGCTCATCCACTCTCACCTATTCAGGACTGTGTCCATGTCCATAAATGCTCAGAGAAATGTGAAGACAGGCTTGATAAGAGGGGAAATGGAAACTTTGTAATGTCGATCTGAGGGAAGACCTGAGGGGGTTTTCTCACCCTGTACTGTGTCATGATTATCCACAGACAGCAAAGGAAGTGGCACAAGACCTGGAAAAGCCCCAGAGCTTAGGGGAGTTGTTGTATTGTTTGTTTTCCCCTGCACTCGACACTGGTGAGGCCACACCTGGAGTGCTGTGTCCAGTTTGGGCTACCCAATTTAGGAAGGACATGGAGGGGCTGGAGCATGTCCAGAGAAGGGCAGCAAGGCTGGGGAGGGGTGTGGAGCACAGGTCCTGTGAGGAGCAGCTGAGGGGGCTGGGGGTGTTTATTTTGGAGAGGAGGAGGCTCAGGGGAGACCTCATCACTCTCTACAACTCTCTGACAGGAGGGTGCAGCCGGGGGGTGTCAGGCTCTCGTCCCAGGGAACAGCGACAGGATGAGAGCACCCAGCCTTAACCTGCACCTGGGGAAGTTCAGGCTGGACATTAGAAACAAATTTTCCACAGAAGGAGTGATGTGAAATCAGAATGGGCTGCCCAGAGCGGTGGTGGAGTCACCATCCCCAGAGATATTTAGGAAAAGTTTGGATGTGGCACTCAGTGCCATGGTCTGGGTGCCAGGGTCACAGGTTGGACTCGATGATCTCCAAGGTCTTTCCAAGCCCGTTAACGCTGTGCCTCTGTGCTTCTTGTTTCAGAGCAAGACCTCCTGCGCCAGGAGCTGAACACGCGGTTCCTGGCCTCGCAGAGCGCCGACCGCGGGGCCTCGCTGGGCCCGCCGCCCTACCTGAGGACAGAGTTCCACCAGCACCAGCACCAGCACCAGCACACACACCAACACACCCACCAGCACACCTTCACGCCCTTCCCCCACGCCATCCCTCCCACTGCCATCATGCCGACGCCAGCACCGCCCATGGTGCGTACCCCAGGCAGAAATGTGAGGATAAGTAGAGCACAACTCTATTCTTTATTACAAAAGTATTGTGGAGAATTTGCCAGGTTGTGGGGAAGGGCTCCTGTGCTGCCCAGGGGTGTCTGGGCAGGAGAGGCAGGGCTGTCCCTCTGTCAAAATGTGAAATTCAGGTGGCAGCACAGGACTGAGGGGTGAGGCTCTGGCCAGTCCTGCTTGGAGTGTTCGCTCTGGGGCCTTCTCCTTTGTCCTGTCCCAAAAAGATCTTGATTTACTTTGAAGAAAGAAAAAATCCCAAACAGTTTCATTGGAAACTAATTTTCTGCATATTTGTTCCTCTCTGTTGGTTGCCAAATAATAGAGAAGTTGTCTTCTATTTTGCCAACAGAAGTAAAGCAAGGAAATATAAAGTAACTAGTTTGTGCTTTGATCCCTTTGCAGTTTGACAAATATCCTACAAAAGTTGACCCCTTCTACCGTCACAGTGTGAGTTTTATTGCTCTGTTTCCAACTGACTTCACTACTTTTCTGTGGTGGGTTGGGATCACCACTCAATCAATGGCACAGTGTCAAATCTCTCCCTAATCATCACTCCAGGATTTACCATTACCGTCCTTGGTTGCTTTGGCTTTTGAAGGCTTGCATTCATGGTGCTTGTTTCTGGTAAAGATGCAGTATCAGCTTTTCCAATCAAAAGATCTCTTGCTCACACACCATTTGGATCCGGTTTGATGTGAAAAGATGAGACAGAAAGGCTGACTGTTCCATGAAGCAGGAGAGAGCAGTGATTCCATCACAGTGTTTCAGTTGTGCCACAAACCCTTGGGCTGATATTTTTGCTAAGGAACTTAAAATGAACTGACAAACTATCAGACAAATCCTTCAGGGATAGATAATCTAATAGTTTTCCCAATCTATCATATTTTGTTTGATAAAATCTGAAAACCTGTCTTATTAGTCAGGTTTCAAAGGCTCATCTGATCCACTGGGCTTGTTATGTTTTGAAAGCTCTGTGTGATGACAGCAACATGAATCCAGCTATGCACTAGATGTGTTTACTTAAGCTACCAAAAATGTTACTTATCGAGATGAACTGATTTTTAAAATTCCAGTTATATGTAAAGCTTCTGCTCCTAAGGGTTTGAATCCACTGATTGATTTGCTGCTGAACTCTAGGTTGTATTTTCTTCATCCTATTGGCAGAGGCAGGTGTCTGGCAAGAGTTTCTTAATCCAAGAGCAGTATTTTGATGAGAGAAGGAGTACTGCATCAGCACTCAGAAATCTGCAGAGCATTTGGCTTTATGTGTTGGTTTTGCTTAGAAGTGGAACTGGGCAAAAAAAACTGGTTAAGACAATGGTGTCTGGGTTAAACACACCCCCTGCTCACAGCCTGTCCTGCCCCTGAACTGTCCTGTCCATGTCTGGCACTTCATTTGAGGAGCTGGGACTCAGTGTTTGCAGGCTCAGAGCTCCAGGAACACAGGGCAGACATTCCCACTTCCCCTCCAAAAGGCACTGCTGCTCACCTGCACCAGTGTTCAATTGCACTCTGGTTTGCTGAGCTTCATGTGGCTTCAGGAGATTGTCATCAATATGGCCTGTGGATCCCAGCAGGAACATGGAACTGGGAGATAGTACATGGATTTTAGACAAATCAATCACAGAAGCTGGCAGTGTAGGATAGGAAGCCTTGCAGAAGTCTCCAGCTGTATCTGCTGTTCAAATTCAGTCAAATAATCTCAGAAATCTGGGAGTTACCTGGACTGCAAACGTTATGGCCTCCCCCCTGTAAGGTCAGGAAAGCTCCATGCTGTGCTTTCGTAGCCAGGGAGCCCTGCAGGGGCCAAGGCAGGGACCTGGTCTCCCCTGCCTTCCCTGGGGAAAGGTTTGTCCTGGGGAAGGGGCTGCCCCGTGGTCACTGTGGGACAGCTGCTCCCAGGGGATGCCCGTGGTGTCTGTGACCCCAGCCAGGCCAGGCCAGCCAGGTGTCCCCTGGTCCCTCCCCTGGGACCGGGCAGGGCACAGGGAATGGGAGCTGTCCCTTAGCTGTGCTGGGGGCACACCCACAGGACAGGAGAAATACAAATACTGTCTGGATGTGGCACTTCCACAGAGCTGTTGCAGGGACAAGAGCTCCCACAGTAGATCCACACTGGAGCTCAGATGCCTTAAAGCTGGCAGTGAGTGTGGGTGAACTTTGTGGGAGAACAGGGTCTGTTTGAGACTTAAAATGCATCTACTTTGGAACAGGGAGTGCAGCTCACATAGAAGCTACTGTTGAGTTTTAAATCAGTGTTATTTCTTCTCTTTTAGCACTGTGAGGCTTTGCTTTTTCCTGCAGCTGCTGCCAGGTCTAGTTTAGCATCACATACACCTGGCCAAGGGAAGCTGTGGTCACTGCATGTTTCCCCAGGGAAAGCTAGAAGGGAAGACTGCTGCTCAAAAGAGAAGGAATTCTTGGGAAGGAGGAGCATTTGACTGTGAAATGTGAATTCTGAAAGCTGGAGGAATTCAACTGATACAAATTAATCATGGAGATAAACTATTTATATTTTATTAATAATTCTGACCTTGAGGAAAGGTCACATTTAATTAACTTACCACTTGTTATAAAACTGAGGAAAGAATTCCTTATTATTAGTCATAGCCAATAGAATATGAAGTATTATATCTTATGCCATCACTTAGAATTAGTCCATTACACAGAGAATTAAAGACAGAAGACACTGGAGAATTTAAAGCACATTTTACTCATTAAAAGTTATTGTAAATGAGGACAAATGTCTCTTAATGGTTTCTCAAATGCCTGCAGTTCAGTATCAACTAATCTCAAAATGTTTTCTGCACCATTGGATGGAGCAGGTCCAAATTAAATAGAATTAAAAACAACAGCAGCAACAGGAACAGAGGCTCAATACCAGGCTATTAAACTGAGAAAATCTTCTGATACCTCTGAAGTGTTTTCTCAGCTTTCAGTAAATACAATATTTATAAATGACCTTGCAAGATAAGCTAGTGGAAGGAAAAATTATGAAGAAAAGCACATGTGTATGCCTGGCATATCCAAATCCATCACAACTTTGTGGTACTGATTTACTCGGGGATGGGATTTGCTCAGTGTTTTCCCACCCCTCATGTCCAGTCTTTGACTTTGCCCAGTCCTGCTTCTGTTCAATTGGCCATTAACTCATTTATTTTGATCTTAAAAGTAGCACACAGTAGTTTGACTTTGCTCAGCCATGGTCAGGCGGGAATTGGTCTCAGCCAGAGAACCCTGTTAGATTTTGGGGTGGCAATTCCAGTGGAGCTGGATCCTTTCTTAGATTCATCCCTTCCTGGATCCGTCCCTTACTAGAGCCATCCCCTCCTGGATCCATCCCCTCCTAGATCCATCCCTTCCCAGATCCATTCCTCCTGAGATCCAGAGGTTTCACACCCGGAATGGGTTTGGAGTGTGACTGGAATCCCTGACTCCCACCAGGCGGCAGTTTCCTGTGTGCTAGCAGTATTTTCATGGAACTGGGAGAGTTTTCTGTCGCAGCAAGAACCAAAGGTTCACCAGCAGAGCACAGAGACAGGGGCAGATTGGGATGTGAAAACCATCTCATCCCACCCCTGCCATGGCAGGGACACCTTCCTCTATCCCAGGCTGCTCCAAGCCCCATCCAGCCTGGCCTTGGGCACTGCCAGGGATCCAGGGGCAGCCCCAGCTGCTCTGGGCACCCTGTGCCAGGCCCTGCCCACCCTTCTAGGGAACAATTTATTTGTTTAATTTACCTGCTTGTTTCCCTTGTGTTTGTATGCATTAGCACAGAGCAGCATCTCGTTTGCTCCCAAATTCCCTTAGGACAGAGCGCTGGGCTCAGGGAGGTCAGTGGAGATGGGCACAGTTTTGTGCTGAGCAATCTCTCTTCACAAAAAAACTCCCATCCATTTCTGGGAGGTTCTGCCTAACATTTTGTTTAAATACTAGTCTTTAACAAATCAGATTGTCTGTCTGCTAATATTAGATGTGGCAGGATATCCTCTCAGACTAATGAAGTAAGAATTGTGCATATTTTCCTCATTTCCTACAGATACCATTAAAATCCCAACCTACTAATGGAGTTTTAATGGCACAATATCCTAGAACTCGTAAGGGTTTTTTCCACTTAAACAGGAGATTTCTGAGTCTCATTCAGCTCAGGATTCTGCCTTTTCTCTTGAAACCAGTCACAGACTGAAACCATTTAAAACCTCTCTCCAATTTAAAAATTAATAATTGAGGAGCAAATGTCTCCCTTATGCTCTGCTGGCCCGAGGCAGGTACAGGTTGCTGGCTGTCTGATTTTGGAACTGCTTTTAAGCTCTAAACCTCATGACATCTGTGAACATCCCATCGACTGCTTTAACTAACATTGTTGCAATGAGATCACTTCAATGCTTCTCAGTTTTCTCCATGTAACATTTTCCTACTATTCTGCAGGAATGCTCTCTGTGTCCTTCTCAGCTGCCTGTGCTGGTGGTGACCCAATGTTGATGTTCTTCTCTTTTTATTGCAGCTGTTTCACTCCTATCCTCCAGCTGTATCAGGTATTCCTCCCATGATCCCTCCCACCGGCCCCTTTGGCTCGCTGCAAGGAGCTTTCCAACCCAAGGTAAGGCAGGAATTACCTGGGACTGCTCAGGGCAGGGCTGGGCTTAGAAGGGGCTTCTCATCCTGGAGAGGCTGAGCTCTGACCTGCAGCTTCATTCCACAGGGGACAATTGTCTCTTTCCAGATTTACCACAACGAGAAGTTATTTCTCATTAGATTCAGATACATCTACAAACTTATTTTTTTAATTATTTATATAAAGGCATGGTTAACTTTAGAAGCAATATAATTAGTTCTGAGATAGTGTGCATTAATGAAAGGTCATGTAATAATCAGGATTTTAAGAAACGATGCTCATTCTTATTTACTCATTTCCATAATTGCCTCTCGGCTCCAGCACAGTGCAGAACACTGATTTGGCTTTCCTCATGAGTGATAACTGGGGGAGAGAAATGTAGTAAGTTCAGGGCTTTTCTCTTTTGTTTTTATGGAGTCAGTCTTTATTTATCAGTGGGAGGAAGTCAGTCTGTAGTCTTTGCAGCTAAAGACAAATCAGGAGTGGAATTTCTGCAGAGGAGACACTTTCTTCCTTAAATTGGCCCATCCACTCTAATGACTGAATATGTAAATTGCATTTCATTAGTGAGATTCTTGTCTGTATGGTAATCAGACTGTTAACAACTCATTTAATTGTCAGTTATGCTGGAGCTGATTTCTATTTTCTTCATTTTGACATAAGAACAAGCTCTATCAACATGTAGGGGGTTGGGTTGTTTTTTGGGTTTTTTTTTGTTTGGGTTTTTTTCCCCCCCACAAAACTGCATTTTATTAACTGACTATTAACATTCAAGTAATGGGAAGAGCTTTAATTTTTTCCAAGTGGATGTTTTCCTGATACCCATATTGTGGCAATCCCTGTGAATGGAGTTGAGGTCCTTGTGCAGTGATGCTCTCTGTGCTGACTGCATCACTGATAATCAGCAGAGCAGGGGCTGGGTCCTCCACATGCTGCTTTTGATGCTGTGTCATAAATATGTTCCTAATCAGGTTTTTCACATTAGAAGATTTTCCAGTTTAAACAGTCACTGTTCCCTCAGTAGTTTTGATTAAAGTAATGGGAAGTTGGTGGATAATCAAAGTGTGGATATGGAGATGATAATACTCATATTACTGAGTGGATTGTAATGGTTCTCCTTACCTTTATAAAAAGTTTATCTCCATTGGTTAGACAATGTAATGATAAAGAACTATCATTTTGCACATTCTGTTGCTTGTAGGCATTGTTACTGGTGTGCAGCTCATTAATGTTGTCTCTCCTTGTGGAATTTCCAGACTTCCAATCCTATTGATGTTGCAGCCAGACCTGGAACAGTCCCACATACCCTGCTACAGAAGGATCCACGGGTCTGTAAAAACTGTTTTCTTTTTCTCAAGTAAATCTGTTCCTTTTGAAAACCTTGAATGCTAGAGCTGCCATCTTGAGAAAGTCCAAATTAACACCCTTAAAACCAAAGCTGTCTGAGCTGTTTCATCAGGTAGGGCTGCAGAAGTTCTGTGGGAATATTTAAAACAGCCCCTGTGCAATGGCAGAGCTCTGTCCTTGCAGGCAGCTCTCTCCCCCACAGGCCCAGGGGTAAAGGCATAAAAGTCCAACGTAGAAAATGTACAAACCTCCCCAAGATTTGTGTTTGTACTCTGTAATTGTTTTTAATGTGGGTAATGACAGCTATTCCCTGGGTTACTGTAGCATTGATTGCCCCAGTGAAATACGGATGCACTTTATTGATCACTTGGTGCCTCTGGATTTCTGAGTTCCAGGGGATGTGAACAGCATTTATTGCCTCAGCACTTTGTCCCTCTGCCCAAGGGTTGTTTGTGTGTTTGAACTGATGGCCATTATTTCCACGAGGAACTTCACACTCAAATATTTTTAGCAGAACTCTCAGACAAAAGCACTGAGGAGCTCTCCCTAAAATTCTGAGTTGTGGCATGGCTGAACCTCCAGAGCTGTTGTCTTTGTGTTGGACTGAGTTCCAGTACTTTGGGTTGCTCAGCAGTGGAGCTGAGGTTGAGCTTTACACCAAGAGGAACCACATTTCTGTTTGTTTGTCTAAGTGCAGAGATAACCAGAACCTCCCATCAGGAAGTCATTTAGCTTTATGTTCCCTTTCAACTGGGAGTGAGTTTCAATTATTTCAAGATGATGCATCGTGCCATCACTGCGTCTGCTAAGTACCTTCTGCACCTATAAATCTCCTTTAGTACTGCATTTCAAAACAGAAAATCCAAAACAAATGAGCAGTACCCAATAAATTGAATTATTTCCCAGCAGCATTTATTGATGAAATATGAGCAAAAAAAGGGGAATAAGAAAATAATTTACTCCAAAAAAAAAATCCCCAACAGGCCACATCAAAAATAAAAATGAGAAAATTGGGTTTTTATATGGGCCCTGTTTAGCAACATCTGTTTCAGTGTGAAAATAATGAAGGCAAAGCCCATTTATGCCAGAGAGCAGCTCGGGCAGCAGTGAGCACAAGGCCATGACCTTGGCTGGTGGGTGGGCACACTGCTGGTGTGCAGGGCATGGCTGACCCCATTCCAGCCATCCCAGCCCCTCTGTGGGATCAAGCCCTGTCCAGTATCCAGCCTTGCCATGAGCTGAGGAGCTCTGAAAGATGAGAGCAGGAGTTTGCCCAGAGGACAGATCTGTGCCTCCATCAGTGCAGTTAACCAGCCATTTCTGCAGCATTAAATCAACAAATTGCTGCTGCTGCCAGGGGCCAGAGCTCTGTGTGAGCCTGCTGGAGCTGCTTGTCACCACTCAGGTGCCACAGCCAGGGGGAGGGGACAGCACAGAGATGGAGGCTCAGGACTAATTATTATCCAAAAGGGCTTCATTTGAAAGTAAAATTCTAACATTTTAATTTAGTCTCTTAATGAAGCAATACAGATTTGTTAATTAGAGCAATTGTTTGAGTGACAGGCGTGTAACCAAGCTGTCATTTCTTCTTCACAGTTGACAGATCCGTTCAGGCCCATGTTGAGGGTAAGAAATCTTCCTGTGCTCCTGTTTGTCAAGCTCGGCTCAGTCCCACCAGGTTGCAGCACAGAATAATTGCAAATGAGATCTGCCAAGTGTCACCTGGGCAGTTCTGCCCTGCTTTTGGGGAGAGCACAGGCACTCCTGCAGCTCCTGATCACTCAAAGACAAGGCAGAGTTTCACAGTTGGAAGTTTTGCTCTTTTCATACAACCCCTCATGTGAACACTTGAGTTTAAATATTGGTGATCCTTCCATCATGGTTTCCCGTGGCAAATCCCAGAGATCCTGGCAGTGATTCCCTGTTATTTCACTGCACTCTGAAGGCGTTTACTTTATTGTTTTACTTTGTGTTTTCAGTGTGTTCAGTGTGGTACGTCCCACCCAGGTATCTCACTGTCCACTGCAGACAGACAATCCACTTCAAACACAAAATATTTTAAAAATAAGGATCTAAAGATCCAGTCCGTCACTCATCCAAAAGGGGTTTTTATTAATTTTTCAGTATATTCAAGAAAAAGGTCTAGATTTTGATTAAATGAACTTACTAAATCACTAGCACAGCCAGTTTTTGCAAATTAGCAAAAGGCTTGAGTTTAGGCTAGTATGTCTGTGAGATAGGATTTTTTTTTATTATTTAGTTATTGGTTAATACACAGTTAGAACTAGAAGGCAGACCATGTGCCATAGTTTGTGAATCATTTAATTCACAAGTAGCTTAAGGAGACTTTTGAATTCCTGTGATAATTTTTAAATCTGCAGGGGTCATTACTTAGTAGGTAACTACAGACCCCTGAGTAACAAAATTGAAGAAAGTATCTCTCAAATGAGTCTTTTTCAGACAGTTTCCTGCTGTGCTGGAAATGGAGTACAAACTCAACAGGAGGCCTAACGAGCACTCTGGTTCCTGCCTCCCTCTCTCCTCCCTGTGACTTGGGGGGACAGGGATGATGCAAAGACCCCCCAAACAGAGTGAATTGACTGACCTCCATTGTTTTCAGCACATTTATGAGCTGAAGTCTTGGAGGGACAGACCAGCAATTACATGAGGGAGTCAGATGAATTTTGAAAACCAGAGTGACCTTTAAAACCACTTCCATTTTCATCTTTTGGTGGAAATGCCAATCCTACCATTTGTGGAAATGACCTGAGTGTGTAGCTGTGAACAGTCCAGCTGTGCTGGGCAGCTGCTCACAGGGACACAGCTTCACAGCTTTCAGCAGCACAAGCTGCACTCTCAGCCAGTGGCATCAGAGGATTACAGGAGCATGTCCAGCTGGAGCAGTCATGGATAGCCAGATAAATTCCCTAGCAAGGGACAAGTCTTTCCAGTTCTGGTTTTCCAGGAGGAAGGAGAGGGAACCCTTTGCTTCCAGTTGTTTTTGTGTAGAGATCTCCCTGACCAAAGCAGACAGGACTCAGGGTCTATTTTCTTCCAGAAATAGAATAAAGCATCACAGGTTTTTGAAAGTTACTGATTCATGCCTTGTTTTTCCAGAAACCTGGCAAGTGGTGTGCTATGCATGTTCACATCGCCTGGCAGATCTACCATCACCAACAGAAAGTCAAGGTCAGTGCCTGGGAAGCCTGGACTGGGGTGGGGGGCACAGGCCAGAGCTCAGAGGGGAAGGGCTGGCTCTCACCTGGGCACTTCTGTGCCGTGGCCAGTGCCTTGGTAAAGTCACACACACAGCACTGAGCAGAAGCCTGGTTTCTTAGGGTTGGTGTAGGGGTGAAAAGCTAAAGGCAGAGTCCCAGCAGAGTGTCTGGGATGTGCTGGAGCCAGGACAGCAGATCCTGGGTAAGAGCTCCAGCTCTGTAGAGAGGAGGGGTGAAATGGAGGTGAGCTGGCTTTTATTTATTTATTTATATGTGGCTGAGGACACAAATGTATCAGGTTGGGTTTTTTTGGGGGTTTTGTTTTTTTGGTTTTTTTTTAGGCACTAGGCCTGTGTATCCACTTCCTCTTATTAATGTTCAGGGGCAGGAGAGAGTGCAGGAAGACTTTTCCTGTCCCTAGGATGCTTTACCAGTGTGGCTGCACAGGCTCCCCTCAGCCTGCCTTCACAGCCCCTCATGGCTGGCGGGTGGCACCTGGATGTGTCCAGGCTGCCCAGGCAGGCACAGCCTCTCAGGGATGTTGTGTTATCAGACACTGCCTCACTGCGCTGAAGTTAGGGCATAGAAGTCCTGTCTTAATTATTTTTCAAGCTCTGAGACTTCAAGGGCGAAGGCCATGAGCAGTTTTCCATTCTTACTGTAACTGCATTTCCATTGCATATGGACTCTGGGAAAGTTTCTTCCCCTTTATGGTATTTTCACTGTACCCATCACTTAAAGATCTTGTGATGCTCCTACAATTTTCAGTAAGTCAGGAATGGTTGCTGTTCTTCACTGGTTATACTTCAGGAATCAATAGCTGTGTTAGAAATAAAATTACCAGGGAGTCCTTAGCACTTTGCAGCTTGTGTGTGCACTTGAATTGTGTAGGGTAGTGCTATAAGAATATGAAGATGTTGAACAGCTATGAAAACCTGCAGCTAATAGAGTTTAAAAATAACCCTTTTAAACAAGGTTGACAGGTTAATTTGCTGCAGTAGACATATCTCTCTTCTCTGCTTCCTTATGTTTCCCTTGCTAGTGATCTTCATTCATCTTCCCATTATCAAAAAAGACAAGATTATAGACCTAGAGAGTTATATGTCCTTTTTTTTATTTTATTGAAAAGGTATTTTCTTGAAATGAAATTATTATTCCCATGCTATCTGTGTCCTTTGAATCTTCTTTGATTTGATATTCAGAGAGAGGTCAAACCAGTATATTTATAACTCACAGTAAATGCCATTTTCATGCAGCCATTTCTTTTACCTCATACTTTTCCACCTTGCATGTTAAAAAAAATAGGAAGACTAAAGCCCAGAAGCACATGAAGGATGTTGCTTGAGTTTTTGAGGCTGTGCATGATGATATTTTCAGGAATAATAGAGAAGTGTGTCTGGTCAGTCAGGAGAGTTGGGGTGTCCCTGGGTACACAGGAACCGTGTCCCCGTCCTGATGTGACCACAAAGGTGAATCTCTGCCCAAAGGCTCACACAGGACATTTCTCCTTCTCCTTACTCACTGCCATGGTTGTGAAGGTGCCTTTTCTTCTGCACAAGCTGAAGGTGCTGCCTGACCACAGAGCAGGGAATCCAATGGGCTGTTTCCAGTTTGCATGCAGTGCCACAGGACTGCTGCCAGTAACGATCCGGCCCAGTAATTGATTGCAGAGGGCAGCAGCAGGCACTGAAGGAGCAGGCACAATGGGAAACTTTAAAACACAACCTTCCTGACCTCAGGAAAAATTGCATGCAGCTGTGGATGCTGTTTGGCTGCCTGTGCCTCTGCAGCAAGACCTGGCTAACCTCTGCACACCTCAGGGATTCAACAGGGCTGCACAGCAGTCGGGGCACAGAGCACATTTACACCCTTCTTACACTGCCCACTGCTCAGGACAGGATTTATGCTCCATAATTGGGCCTCTCTCCTTTAGGAAGGGCCTTACAGCCTGATCTAAGAGCAGTGCAGACAGTTACATTGATTTTTGTGGGCAGCACGCTCAGGTGTTACACATTTTCTGGAAATATATTAGGAAGGATTGGCATCCAGGGGCTGCTCTCCTGAACAGCAGCTGGGGAGAAAAGAAATCTGACCATTTCCCTGGTACTATTTTAAGGTAAACCAACACATTCAGAAATCTTTTAACACATCCATGGTATTCCTGTTCCTCTTCAGACAGGGGATTTGTTCGTTATTTAGAGCAGCACCATTCATATGGCTGCAATTAAAGCTTCAGCCAGCTTTTGCTATTCTGAGTAATGCCTGTCAGGGGTTTATAACTTGGTTGTTAAAAAAGAATAAAAAGAGTTCACAGCATAAAAATCTGGCACACAGGCTTCAACTGAGGCATTTGTATTTTCTGAACTCCTTTTAACTATTAAAGCACTTCAGTGTTACTTCCTTAAAAGCCTTGACCTTGACTTGGCCACCTTTGCAGTTTCAGTATTCTTGCAGGCCATTATCTCCAGACATAGATAATGCCTTTGTTTCCCCTTTTTTTTTTTTTTTTTTTTCTTTTTTTTTTTTTTTTTTTTTTTTTTTTGTTCTCATGTTCAGAGATATTTCTAGCACTTGAAAAACAGCTATGAGGCATGCACATTAATTTGATCATAACTTTTTAATATGCATATTTATATCATTGTAATAGTCTGTACTCGGGGCTGGCACAGTATTAAATACTGATTTATAAAGCGTAGCCTGCTCCAGAGCTATTGTTAAGATCTCCTGGTTCCTTGTTATCCATTTATAAATCCTTTCAGCTGCCCTGCACAATTAATCAGCAATCTGCATTTAGGGAGTTCTGGCAGCACAGGTAATTGGGAATTTGGTTTTCTTCCTTCATTCTATAAAACTACTGAAGTGGGCACCCCTGAAATGGGGATGTGGCACAAAGAAGAGCACATCCTTTATCCACTTATCTCACAATGCAGCTGCCTCAGCAAATTCCCCTCACAAGAGGGAGGCTGCTGACTGTAACGTATGTAAATAAAGACATGCAGCACTTTGAGTGGGGAGTGGGAGCTGTCAAAGTGGGACTCAACCACTCCTGCTCTGCACTCTGGTTCCTTTCAGCCCCTCACTGCAGGCTGAGGGGCACTGGAGGATGCTTTGCATCCAGCATTTCTTGGTGGCAGCTTTCCCTTGGGAATGAGTGGTTCTGGTGTCCATGTCTGGTCTTTCAGCACCCTCGCCCAGCTGGGACCAGGGCCAAGCTGACATTCCCATTTATTATTGTGGGACAGACCTGGCCTTATAGCTCAGCAAGAGTCTGAGGCCTCTTCAGAGAGTTTTATGTTTGTTGTTGAAGGCAGCTCTGAACACCCTGGAGGGGTGGGTGTGAGCATATGTGAAAACACTGGTGAAATTAGCAGGAAATATGCAGGAGCCTGAGCTTTTCCCTCTTTGCCTTAGATCTCCCTTCCAGGAAAAGAGCTGTGCACCTGTGCTTGGGGTCCCAAAAGCCAATATTTTTGTTAAAATATCAGTATGAATGAACTGTTCTACCCACATCATTCTGGAAGTGCCTTTTGCTGTTACCTTTTCAGACAGTCTCTTCCAAGTCCTGTTTTCCGTTTCAGAAACAGATGCAGTCTGACCCACACAAGCTGGACTTTGGCCTGAAACCAGAATTTCTGAGCAGGCCACCAGGCCCCAGCCTTTTTGGAGCCATCCACCACCCCCATGACCTGGCTCGGCCATCAACTCTCTTCTCCACAGCCAGTGAGTACTGAAAGTGAAATCCCCTTCCTGCTCCTTGCTCATTAAAATGCTGATCCTTGCCATGAATTTCCCATATGCTTTGGCTTATGAACTCTCTGCAAGACATGCCAGGGGCTATTAGTCTATTTGATAAATATTTAAAAATTATTCTGTATGCTTTTATAAAAAGTCCAACCTGCTGGAACACTGCTAGGTAGTAAGTGAAGGAACATTTCCCCACAGAGTGATGTCTCATGCATCGTGGAGATCAGATGTTGGAAATAAGGTGTATTTCACACGCATTTCCTTTTTGTTTCTGACCTGAAACATTCACTCCCCTGCATCCCTTATCCTCTATCTGGGATTTTCTGTTTGGAAAAGCAGCTGCTGTTTGCATAGGACCCTGCAAGCCCCATGCAGGGCACAGCAATGTCAGCTCACATGAGCTGTTACAGAAGGGACAGCCCAGAGCACAGCGAGTCTCTCTCTGAGCCTTTGCTGGGAATTGACCCCTTTTGCTTTGTTTTGGCAGGTGGGGGGCACCCAGCCGGGACCCCTTTTGGCCCACCACCCCACCACAGCAACTTCCTCAACCCAGCTGCTCACTTAGGTACGTCCTCTCTCAGCTCGGGGGAATACAGCTCAGACACTGACCACTGAGAAATGACAGACTTCCTCTGGGGAGACACTCTGACTAGTCTGCTTATTAACCTTCACAAATGGCACATTTTAGCTGTTTAATTTTTGTCTTTACCCAAGTAGAAGTTCTAAATACACACAGAAAGTGTCACTGACTGTGTTTAGAAATACTTCTGGACATTCGAGGAGCAGAGTGACAAGGCTGGCTGGGTTTCATTTGAGTTAAGCTTAGAACCAGTCAAAAAATGCCTTAAGGGCAAGACTTTGGATCACAGAGATGTTTCGAGATGTTTCTTTCCTAACTCCTACTTAGATATCTGTTTTTCCACTAAAGTGAATAGGAAACATAGCTTTAAAATCTTGTGACCTGGTTTCATGTGTCAGTTAGTGAAAATTGGTGAATACATATTAAAAACCAGAACCACCCAAGTTACCAGATGTTGTTATTTCCTTTCTAGCTTACTGCTTTTGTAATAAGGTGGTCTGCTCCTTATGGGAGCATGCAAGACCAAGACTTTAAATTGGCATTTTATTTTGCATGGGGAAGGATTTGGGAGGGTCACCAAACTGGTACAGCAAACAGACAATGCAGGTTTATCATTCTGCACTTTGCTGCCTATGGAAAATGCTAGCTTTGGGCTTCTTTTTCTCTGTGTTGGTATTTATCAGAAGTGACTTCATCAAAATTGTTAGACTGCTCCAAAATAAAATGAGAATTTGCTTTATATGATTTTCCTGTTGTCTGTAGGCATTAACTAAAAAAAAAAAATTATTCCAGCATTTTTCAGTCCATACTAGTTTTTTGTGTATTATGAGCAATAAGCACCAAGGGAATCACAGAATGCTCAGGCCAGCATGACATGTCAGTGGAACAGGACATTTTATTTGTACCCTGGCTCTGGTTTTGTGGACATGGCCTGAAGGTATTTGGAGCACAATTGCCAGAATTAATGATAGTCTGACTAGCAAGGGACATTTCCTGAGGAAGGAAATAAAAGGAAGTAAAACTGGAGATGCTTGCAGGTTTCAAATGAAGTATCATGTCCATTTTAACATCTTGATTTTCATTAAGAGGGATTTTTTTAGTAGATGATGCCATGGGTATGGCCAGGAACAAAGGCAGTGTTTTGTGTCCCAGCCCCTCAGAACCCTGCTGTGTGTGGGGGGACGCTGTTCCAGCACTGCTGGGCACATCTGGGGTGCAGGGGAGCGCCGCAGGGTGCTGGGTGGGAGCTGGCAGCCTCGGGGGTTTCAGCTCTTTGTGTTGGTTTGCAGAGCCCTTCAACCGGCCGGCGTCGTTCAGCGGCCTCACCGCCGTGGGCAGCAACGCCTTCGGGGGGCTCGGGAACCCCACAGTCAGTGAGTACCTGGGCCATGGCCCTCCCTGCTCTGCAGCTCGCCAGGGCCACGCAGGGGACTCTTGGCTCTCTTTTGTACTGGTTTTGTACCACTAAAAGATGGGAATTTGGAAAGCAACCTTTTCCAGTTGTCAGTAATGTTTTTTGTTAATTACCTAATAGTTTGGGTTCAGCCTAGTGCTAAATGTTTCCATTGCATTGTTCATTAAAAAAAAAAATAGAGCCTTTGAGTGTTTGTGAAATTTCCCACGGTTTTGTTGCATGTTCAGAAGTAAATAATGTGTGCAGCTAGGGAGTTGTGGATGGAGACTTTTTTTTCCTTTCTCACCAGTAATTCAGGCCATGTGCCTGGAAATATCCCTAACCTGCATTTACTAGTCCAGGTTCATCAACATTTTTCTAAATTTAGCCAGTCACAGAAAATCATCCTTTTAAAAGTCACTCTCTTTCTTCATACTTCAAATCTGGCATGATTTTGGTTACATTTTGTTTTGGTTCAGGATCAAATGCAACAAGTGTCATTATTTATAGTCCCTATAACAGTCATTTCCTGATGCCTCCAAAACATTTGGAATAAGGATCATTGTCACTTTTATCTTACTCCTTCATCCCTTGTCAATTTTATCCACAGCATTTCCCTTTCCAATTAAAAGAGCTGTCAGATGCCTGCCCATTTTTAGGAATGAGACCCTCTAATGAATCTCTGTTAATTTCCTTTCCTTTTCCAGCTCCCAATAATATGTATTCATTTTAACTCTGAGTGCTGTAAAAGTTGTTTTGGTAAGTACCTTCACTAGAGCATACCTTTTTCTTAAACCTTTTTGTTTTCCACTTCACCATTTCAGCACCCAACTCAATGTTCGGCCACAAGGATGGCCCCAGTATGCAGAGCTTTAGCAACCCTCACGAGCCCTGGAACCGACTGCACCGAACTCCTCCTTCGTTCCCGACCCCTCCGCCCTGGCTGAAGCCAGGAGAGCTGGAGCGCAGTTCATCTGCTGCAGCTCATGACAGAGATAGAGATGTAGATAAACGAGACTCATCTGTTAGTAAAGATGACAAAGAAAGGTACGAAAGAACACTTCCAAGAATTGTCTAGTTCAAAGCTTGGGGCTCCGTTCCGCTTTTAACCCTCCCCAGCCTGGCACGTTGTGAACCCAGAGCTTCACCAGAGGCACACCTGGAGCTCTCCCCATGGTTGCACCACGGAAGAGGCAGGTTTGCAGCTCAGGTGTTCCTCTCTGCAAGGTTTCTCTTCCCACTTGCACTGCACACTTCACCTGAAGGAGCTTTGCTGGAGCCCAGTTCAGGCAGTGTCAAGTGGGAATAGAATCAGACCCACCCACTCTTACCTTGTGGGTCACATTGTTGTAGGTCTTCTGAAGGCTTAACTTGGAGATAGTGCCTGACAGGATGGAAAAACGGATTCTGAAGTCTATCAGATACTTATCTGCACCTTCAAATACTTAAACAACTTGGTAAATCAGACCTTGTCTGCAAAACAAGTAACACTTCCTCCCTCCTCAAAAAACGGCCTGACCAGAGGAACTAGTGCTAAAGGTGTGAGCTGAGAAGATTAAAATGCACCAGGAATGTCATGTGCCAAAACCATAGCAAGCTTCAGAGCATGCAGTTCATGAAAAGCACCTTCTTTCCCCTCAAAGGAGTCCCTGCACTTGCACTGCTGTTAACACACCTTCCAACACAATTTCTATTCAGTGTTTTTCATGGACTTGCATGCTCACATGTCCAGGCTGGGAAGGGTTAATGGAAAGTGAAACCTGGTCATATTTATTTTTTTGTCAGGACTGTTCCCATTATTCAGTTAAAGCAGTAAAAATTCCTCTTAACATTGCAGTACCAAATTTATAAGAGTTTGCCATTCAGCAAGTGTCATGCCTTCCTTGAAAACTGTAGAGAGGCTGATTTCAGCTTTTTCAGTTGTGGCTTGATGGCTTTCCTGTTAAGTTTGCACATTACTACATAATGGCTATTTGTTTCTAATATTTTAATCTAAAAGAATATTTAGGAGATGTGCTTTTCTGACTTCTCTGTCACTAACCCAAAGATACGCATTAGTAGCCTTTTCTAAAAGAAGTTATGCTAACACATTAGATATTCTAAAACTACATGTAAGAGCTTTTCTGCATTGTTCTAAAAGAAAGGCAAACTACAGATCTTTTCACCTACATTTTCCATTTGGAATATTTTCTGTTTGGTAGCATAGCTTCATTATTTTCATGTCTGATGTTAATGCTTCAAAAGAAATTGCTGTTACAAATTGGGTTTTCTGTCCTGCAAAAGGCTTAAGCATGTGAGTAACTTTACTGGCTTGAATGGCAAAGCATTTTAGTTACTGTGATCTGGGTACACTGTGGAATTATGTGATTATTTTGGTTGCTGTTTTGTTGTTTTCTCATGAAGTATTCTGCTGAAGAAAATCCCTTACTGAAAACATTCCTTGAAAGCTGCTTTGGATTGCCTGAACTCCATATCATAGCTCAGAACATAATTCTTTTCAATAATTTGAGAGCTTAGCAGTAAGCATCATCCATCCCTCATACTTGTGCACAGCTCCAGCTTGCAGTGAGTGCAGTCCTGGTTTCACCCCTGCAGCGCTGCTGTGTGCCCAGCTCTGTGGGCTGGGACATGGCACTCTGCAGCATGTTCACACTGTGGGCTGTGTGAGGAGAGGCTGAGAATCCCTTCCCAGAGCTGTGCTCCCTGTGGAGAGAATCTCTGAGGAGTTGAGAGCCTCTCCTACCTCCTCCTTAACATTCAGTGGCACTCAGTGGGGTGAGCACAGAGCTTTCTAGTTGAGGGCCCAAGCTTTGTTATCTACTTGAAATTAATTTGCCAAAGCAGGAGGAGCTGGGAATCACTCCCAGAGGTTTGATTTCATCTCTAAATCATCTGGTCATCAAGGGTCTAACTACCAACCCAGGAATGGCCCAGGTAGCCAAAAGCATTGACCTCAACTCCTGCCTGCAGTGGAAAGGTCTCTCTGAGCTTGGAGCTCCCCACCTAAGGTCGGTGTTGGATGGGGTGGGGATCCCTGGTGGCTCCTCTTGGATCAGCTGCATGGCCTGTGCACCACAGCCCCTTCCAGGCAGACTGAGAGAGGTGAATCCCTCAGACAGCCCAGAGAGTTAGAACTGCAGCAGTGACCCTTTCCTGGCTGGGAGTGGCACTGCAGAGCCCTGACTGCTCCTGGAAGGGCTCTGCATGTCCCTTCCAGCTCAGGGTATTCTGGGACTCTGTGATCGACTGCAGTTGTGGAAGGGTTTTTTTAAAGACTCTTTTATTCCAGCCCAACATTAGGGGGAAAAAAAAGTAAAAATAGCAAATGTGAAAAGCAGGATTTATTACTTCTCAGCAGTATTTTTAAAAGATGTCACTGAACACTTCCAGTATAATCATAATGAATTAAGGGTCTGCAGTCCTAGAGCATTAAACCAAACAAATCAAGAATCTGTTGATCTTTCAATCAATATAAATGAGGTGCACACCTCGGCATAAGAAAATCAGTATTTTTTAATGTATCACACAGCCTCAGAACTTCTCTTACTTGGTAATAAGTTCATTGGATAATATGATTTTAAGTTTCTTCTTTGTGGAAGCAGTGGCTTAGAGCTGTTCTCATATTATCAACCTAAGGAGCTCTTGACAAATGTGAGGATTAAAAAGTTATTCCTTCTCTGTCCACTGGGCTATGTGCAGCTCACTTAAATGAGCTGGATAATCAGGATCCTCTTGAGATGTTACCAACACTGTCATTGAATATAATGACATTGGCAAGGGAATTTGTCATTTTGGTTGCACATATATTTCTCCTTAGTTACAGAAAACAGCTGTTATTTTTTCTAAATTTTATGTCATTTAAAGTACATCAATTATATGGAAAATTGATTAAATATCAACAAAAGGACTGAATGAGCTTTTGTAGGGAAATAAAACATTTAAGGCTACCCTCTGAACTAGTCCCATGAGCAAAATAAATAAAAGATTAGGTATTGCAGAGCCCACAAGCCAGTGTTTTCCCAGCAAAGGAAAAGAATTGAACCTTCATGTTGAGAATACTTCACTGGAGGGCCTTGACTTGTTCTCCCCTGTGTCCAGATGTGGAAGCTGTTAAATGCCTGAACTCTTGGTGGAAAGCAAGTGGAAGGAAATTAGAACTAGGATGTGATTTCCAGACTGTTCAGGTCCCATTGAATGAAGGCAGCACCTGATCCCAAGCAGTGAAGTGCTAGACAGTGCAGACAAGGCAGGCTGTATCAGATGCTCCATCTTCCAAGTGTTTTCCAAGAGTCACATTCTGGACTTTGGAGGTCTCTCAGACATGGCCCATGAAATGACAGTTTCAACAGTTCAGTCCAAACACACTAGAAGATGCACCTGGTGAAATTCGAATGAGAGTTTCCTTCTCCCAGGCATTTTTTCTGCATTTGCTGCAGTTTCACTGTCCAAAAGGTACCTAGAGGTACAAATCTCACACAGCTCAGCAAAAAAAGTAGGTAGCAGAAATTGTACAGGTGAAGGAGCAAGTGTTCACTGTGGAGTCACCCTCTGAGCTGCCCTTGAGCAGCCAGTACTGCTGATCTTGCCCAGAGTGTCACCTGCTAGTGACACCCAGCCTTCAGGTGACACCAGCACCCATGTCAGTGGAGCTGAGGGGAGGCCTCACTGCTTACCCTTTCCACAGAATCCCAGAATGGCTGGGGAAGGGACCTCTGGAGATCATCCACTCCAATGCCCTGCTGAGGCAGGGCCACCCAGAGCAGGTGACACTGGAACGTGCCAGGTGGGTTTTGTCTTCACAGAGACCTCCCTGGGCATCCTGTTCCAGTGCTCTGCCACCCTCAGTGGAAAGAAGGTCTTTCTATGTTGAGGTGGAACTTCTTGTGTTTTAGTTTCTGGCCATAAATAATTGTTGCTTTAACAATTGTCCCTCATCCCACATGGAACAGAATTTCCATGCTCAGCAAACAGCACGTGTCCAGCACTGAATATGTGGAGCTGTCTTTATGGAGCAATTCCAGCTCAGAGGTCAATTGAAATTACTAAGAGATTAAAATCATTGGAACTGAGAGATTAGATTCACCTTGTGAATTTGATTCGTTTTAAATGGGAGAGCTTTTTCACTTAGCGTTGTTGCCCATAACAACTCCTGGTCAACACTACTTCCTGAAAATACTTTAGATGGAACCCATTTCCATGTTTAGATTTTTGTTCACTGCCAGACAATAATTCCCCAATCTTTTGTGCACCAATACTAGGTTTGAAAGATGGAATGAATTCATAGTATTTTCTGACTTTGTAGCATTGGCCCTGTCCTGCTCAGCTTGTTTTAGCCTAGAAATGGGAAGGGTTGGTCATCTTGAGGAGCAGCTGACTCCAGGCATGGTGTTTTCAGAGCCAGTCTGAAGGATGGACAGACAGAGCAGACTTATCTCTGCTGAGGAGGTCAGCACAAAATCTGTATGATGGGCAGCTCTGTTAAACACTTGCACTGAGGGTCACTGCACACTCAGGGAACTGCCTTCCTGTCAGAGGGCTGGCTTGGCATCAGTATTGGTGGTACTTGAAAGGATTTTGTCTCAGTTTGAAGTAAATGGAATTGCGAAAAGTAAATTGAAAAGCCAGATGTTTGAAGAGAATAGAGGAGAGAAGTTAGTGGTGCACATAGGTCTGGAAATGTTTTTAAAAGAAATTTGAAAAAATAGTAACCTATTTTCCCAAATGTATTCTTAATAGAAGAAGTAGGTAGAATACTATTAACCGTATAATTTGTATTTAATTGCCTCACTTTTTGGGTGAAATGAGTATGTTTTTACTTTTCTCTCTCTCCTTTGCAAACATTTAAAGTCTTTGAAATCCATGTCCTAGAGCTAGATTCCCATGGGAGCCTTCTGTGGAGTTCAGTGTTTGAGATCTCAGTCAGATTCTTCACAGAGCAGCTTTGGAGATCTGCTGCTGCTGCGATGAGATAACAGAGTAGGCCAAGTTTAGAGATGGGATGTTCTGAAGTTTTTGGGTGTGCCAAAGGCACAGTGCATTTACTGGTGCACATCACCAGCTCTCTGCAAAGCTTGAGTAGAAAGCCAGGCAGTCTGATGCTTTGTTTTCTTTGCAGAGTTTCTCATGCCTTCATTTCACACTTCTCTTTCTTGTAGGGAGAGCATTGAGAAAAGACACTCCAGCCATCCTTCGCCAGCACCTATCCATCCAGTAAACTCCCTCGGACATAACCGCAGCTCAAGTGAGCAGATCAGGAGCCATCTGAATCCCGAGGTTCGAGAAAAAGAGAAACCCAAAGAACGAGAGAGGGATCACTCCGAATCTCGGAAGGAAATTAATGTTGAAGAGCACAAGGTGAAGGACAACTACGTTTCGGAGAAAGAAGGCCTGAGCCATGAAAGCCGAGTGGTGGAAGAGTCTAAGCAAATGCCCAGGGTTCCTTCCCCCTATGCCAGGCCCCCCGTTGTGGAGAGCACCAGGCCTAACAGCACTTCCAACCGCGAGGCCGACAGGAAGAACGAGCCGGCGTATGATAACCCGAAGAAAAGCAACGAAGTCAAGGTGAAGGAAGAGCGAAAGGAAGACCATGATGTTCAGCCTGAGGGACCTCAGACTCATAGGTCATCTGATCAGCCACCACCTATATCCACATCTAACGTCCATCCAAGTCCTTTAGTGTCTATGCCCATGACTGTAGGTGTGACTGGTATACATCACATGAACAGCATCAGTGGCCTGGACAGGACTCGCATGATGACCCCTTTCATGGGAATTAGCCCAATTCCTGGTGGAGAACGTTTCCCCTATCCTTCTTTCCACTGGGATCCAATGAGAGATCCCTTGAGAGATCCCTACAGAGAGCTGGATATTCATCGGAGAGACCCCCTGGGCAGAGACTTTTTGCTGAGAAATGACCCTCTCCATCGCCTCTCTACGCCAAGGTTGTATGAAGCAGACAGGTCATTCAGGGATCGGGAACCTCACGACTACAACCACCACCACCACCACCACCACCCTCTGTCCGTGGACCCGCGCCGGGAGCACGAGAGGGGCACTCACCTGGACGAGCGGGAGCGGCTGCACATGCTCCGCGAGGACTACGAGCACGCGCGCCTGCACTCGGTGCACCCCGCCGCCCTGGACGGGCACCTGCCCCACCCCGGCCTCCTCACGCCAGGACTGCCCAGCATGCACTACCCCCGCGTCAGTCCCCCCACGGGACACCAGAACGGCCTCCTCAATAAAACTCCCCCCACAGCAGCTCTCAGTGCCCCTCCACCTCTCATCTCCACGCTGGGCCCTCGGCCCGGCTCTCCCAGAAGGACTACTCCTCTGTCCACAGAGATGAGAGAGAGGCCTCCCTCTCACACCCTCAAGGACATCGAAGCTCGATAAGCAGAGTGAGACTCAATGAAAATCAGAGCAAGAGGGACAAAAACCTTGTAAATGAACATAATATAAAGACCTTCTTACTAGTCATTGATACAGACTGGGGATGTGACCCACTGTACAATATGTATAGACCTGAGTGCAAAGATTTTGAAATGATTTTTTTTGTATATTATATGTTGAAATTTTCCAGATCTTTTAGCCAATGTTCCATATGTTCCTCGTGTCTCCTACTCTATTTTATTTCTAGTTTAAAATTTTCAAAATTTGAACTGAAGAACAAGACATCAGTCTGAGTGATTTGACTAGAAACAAGCCACCACCAATGTCAACCCTACAAAGCTCTTTCAAACCAGAAGTGAAGTCAATTGTAGATATTTATGTAAAAAGATTGCTTCATGGATTAATGGTTCATATATGCAAAAAGGGTAAGATGAAAGCTTTACTTTGTACAAATGTAAATAGATAAAATTAAGTAACATAATACATTAATACTTCTTAAACTGTGCTATTTGCAAACTTAATATTGATCAACACAGTCTGCTTATGCTGTGTTACTTATATTGTTATAGACAGCTAAACCCCTTCAACTATGCAATGAATTTTAAGGCTTTTCACAAAAGCCTTTATAACTCAAAGGAGCCTTTTCAACACACAACATAATTAAAGTCATATTTTCCCTGAACAAGCTCATTTCTAATGGAAGCCTACTTCTCTTGTTTTGATGAAGAAACAGCCCTTCAGAGGTGTAATTTTCTGTGTGAATCCTTGCATCAGGCTGCTGAGGTCACTGTAGCTCGTGTGTCCCTTGGATGGTGTCAGGGTTAGTGCTCTGTGATCACTGATATCGAGTCATGGCAGATTGGGTTTCAGTCATATTAATCTGGGTTAAATGGTAATAATGGAATGCTGGAGATTTTCCAGAACTTTTGTCACTTAACATGTCAAATTTATTTTGGGGAGAACATCTGCTTATAGCCATTCATGTCTGGTTTTATTGCCAGTGTGTCATTTTTATCTGTAGACACATTTTTTTGTGTTAAGTGATTTTTAACTACATTGAAACAAATCCTACAAGAAAGTGAATGCTTTTCTAAATGATGGATATGTTTTCACTGTGGATCAGTAGTTTAATTAATGAATCCGTTGCAGATTTCATAATGGAATTTATTGTATTTCAGTTGGTAATAAAAGTCTGTGAATAGTTAACAGGTCAGCCTTGTTGTTCCCTAATCATAGAAGACATGAAATAACCTGAAGAACATGGTCCTTTTTAAAAATATGCATCAATCTTCTGAAATCTGTCTTTTCATAACACACTTTTTTATAATGCGTTAAGTTTCTTGTCTAAATATTTGGAGAGAATATGACTTTATCAGAGAGAATTCAATATCTTGTGTACTGGACTGTAAAATATATGTATGAAATAAAATTAGTTCCATTGGTCTTCTAGTGTATTAAAGTGCTATCTGAAGTTGTTACCCTGTTTTGGCAAAAAAAAGAAAAAAAAGAAAAAAGTTAACTACAAACAGTTGTTTCTAATGATCAGAGATCTATTTTAGTAGTCAACTGAAGGTTTAGTTGTGAGCTTCAGATTTTTGTGAACTCCAGATGTTGTGCAGTGTTTCTTTTTTTTTTTTCTTTTTTTTTTCTTTTTTTACAAACAAAAGGAAAAATACAAAAAAGTCCCAACCCTGAGGAATATGTACACTGGAACCGTAGTGGTAGCTTTCAGTATTGTAAAGAGATTGTTATATACAAACCTTTTTGCTGTTTATCCTGTATGTAATAAAGTCCTTTCTAGATCCTATGTGAACAGAAAAGTGAAGCGGCTCTCAATCTTCAGCATGTTTCCTCCTCAGCGAAGACTTGTGTAATGTAAATTGTGCCATGTTATTAAAAAATGTGAACTAAACTGCTAGGTGCTTCTTTGTGTGCAGTACCCCATCGTTGCTATGGGGAAGAAGTCCTTTTTCCCAACAGTGGGGTTTTGTTCAGAAGGAGTAGCTGCTAAAATTGTAAAGGAAATGCAAGCTTTCCTAAGCCATCTTATTGAAATCGTTAGACGTATCAGGGAAAAAGAAACAAAAAGGAGACCAGATCCTTGGCTTGTCCAGATTCTTTAAAATGTAGTAACACCCTAGTGGGATTAGATTTTAATTAGACCATAATCTTAGTCTGCTGGATGCACATCACTAAAACCTGAGTTACTGAAGGAAGGCAGGACTGGATGGCCACAGAAGGATGTAACTGCTGGAGCCGGCGAGAGAGGCCCCACGAGGCAGGGTCTGATTGAGAGCATCATCTGCCAGGCTCATCTTGTCCTTGTTAGAGGAGCCTGACAGCTCTGGCAGCGTCTTCAGGAGGGAAGAAACGTGGTCTTGATTGTCCAGACTCTGATCCTTGTCCTCCCAGATGCTGAGCAAACTCTTGTTGATGGTCCTTAATTCCCAATTAAGCCAATGAGCCTGCACTCCCAGAGTCCAGAAAGCATTGAGGCATTTCAGTCCCTTTGAATTCAATCCAATTTCAGTGCTCCACGCCTTTGAAGATCCACGTGTCAAGTCTTCTTGTACTGGTGATGCTCAGAGGAATATACCTGAAAGGTGTAGTAAGAAATGAAACAAGATTCTTAATGCTTTTAAATTTCTTCAGGTGCATTCACTCCTTTTCAGAAGTTTGATACGGGGATGTTAGCTTGCAGGTATAGACAATTTGATCTTTTTTGAAGAGTTTTCCATTCAGGACATTAGTCTTAAATCTTCTATTTTTGAATTCACTTGTGTTTAAGAAATGAATTTGATTTAAAGACCATGCCAGCTACCTTCTGTAGGAATTAAATGAGTCACAAGGGTATTAATTCTGTAGGTTGTACGAGATTTTGATCACAGACAGCCCTCAGTGTCCTTACATCAACCAGGACTTTGCTTTAGGTTTTAAAGTCTCACCTTCTCAAATTCCAACTTATTTTCCACTTAGCAGCTTCCTATCACTAGCTGCAGTGTCAAATGGAGTATATAGGAAGGGAATCTTTGAAAACAGTCCTAACATTTGTCTCCCAATACGTTGTTCATTTTATGCCATGCTTGGTCCCTTCTTTTTTAACTTCCTATGTTCTAATCTTTGGTTTTCCTTACTAAGACTTGCCTCCAGCCTGATTTTCTGCTTTACAAAGCCTACTGCTCCTCTCTTTACCAGTCCTGTCCTCTTCACGGCCTAGGATAGCTAAATCTTATCAGAGGCAGCAATAAACACTGCAGATTTTTTTTACAAAAGTCATAGGTATTGTACATTGTTGTTCCTTTTTACTTTTGCCTATAGGAGCTCATGAAAACTGTAGTCCTTGCTGGACTGGAAGATAGGCAGATGGAGGTTGGGGAGGATTTTATTGCAAGTATTTTCATTTGCTGTGGCTGTGCGTCATTGAGGAAATGTTTATCACGGTTCTTGCAGATTTGAACTCTTAATTACGGCTTCACACGTGCATGTGACTCTGCTGAAAGGCTTCTGGACATGGACCAAAGTCACAGAGCAGTGGTGCTGCACTTAGAGAGGAGCTCCTTGGCTTGCTGCTTGGTTTCTGGAAGCAAGCAAGGAAGAAGCATGAGCACTGGTTCAGAGACCAAAGACTCCAGTTACACAGGGTTTTGTCATTGCCATGGTGGCTTGGTTAAGTCCCACCTGGAGAAGCCAACTTCTTTCTTTGGACTCCACGTGCCAGCTTTGGAGTGGCAGTGCTTGTCTTCAGAAAGTGATTTGAGCATGATTCCAGTTAAATGGTCAGAATTGCCTTTGGAGTGTGACTGCCTGAACTCTGGATGGAGGCTGGCCTCTAACTCAGTTGGTTGGGCATTGCATGCAAACGAGTGGTGGGGCTGCCTCCTGCCCTGTTGATGTCCTGGTCCCATCAGATCCTTCTTGCACATATAAAAACCCAATCCAGGCCATTTGTTACATAAAGCTCTTTGGGACACAGTCTGTCTCTTACTTTGATTGCACCATAATTGATGCCCTTGATCAGGGCAACTGAGCATTGCCCAGTGCAGCTTACTGCAAAAATTCTTCTAGTCATACTAAAACTGAAGGCTTCAGTGAATTAGCCATGGAAACCTGTCTAAAAAACTCCACATTTTTGCTAGCCAAGGAGAACCAGAGCTGCAGGTGAGGACTGACTGTTCTCCCTGTGCCGTGTCTACAGCTGGAGGGGCTTGGACTGTTTGTGCCTGTGGGCAAGGTGGAAGTTCCCAGCTGCCATCTGTTGGGGTCACACCCCTTTCATTTTCTGCTGGTATCTTGCAGCTGACATCGTGTTAGCACAAAGATATGTCCTGGTCATAAAATAGATCCCCCTACTCATTTGTGCACTGTGAGGATGCATAGAGCAACAGGTATTTATGGACATCAAAATGCACGTGTGCTGTCAGGTACAATACCAGGGAGGAAGCTCAATCCAGCAAGGAGCAGAGTATAAAATCCTGGTGCCACCCTACAATCTCACACATCTGTTTTGCTGCCATCTGATGTTTCCTCTGCTGGTTCTGATACCTCAGTACAGCATTATTCCCATTTTATAAACAGGAAAAGTGCTGCTGGGAACCCCAAACATGGAGCCACCAGTGTAATACCAGGCACCTACTGCCTGAGTGATCTCAGGAGTCACCCAGGGCAATTGGACTACTGCCAGAGTCACTGGAGAACAGAGAAAAGCCCAAATCAGGCAAAATGCAGAGTCAAGGGTGGCAGGAGATGAGGAATTCCTGAGGTCCTCCTTCAGTTTTAGAAAGGAGGGTTTTAACCCTCCATATTAACAAATGGTGGCATCTCAGACTGCTAAACTTACCTGTGAAGGGATGGGTTTTACCTATTTATTGATAAGTAGTTCAAGTATTGACCCAAGCTGATAAGGGTTGTGGTCATTCTGGTTACTGAGGGAAGAATTGCTGTATTTTACCAGCTAATGCGGCTTGTGTGATCATCATATTGCTCAGTACTGAAACTCACTCTGAATGCAGCATTTTTCTTGGCTGAATTTATGTTTCCCTACTGAAAAACTTGAATTTAGCCCTAGGAACTGAGCCACCCCAGTACAATCATCTTTGTTTCAAAACAAGATAATTAAGCAAGAATTGAATCAATTAATTGCATAAAGATGTCACCTATTAAATATATTTATTAAATGTATCTTTTGCTTTGCATCTTCAAAGCCCTTTAATAGTATCCATTGAATCAGTGTCATTGTGGGGGTTTGTTTTACGCAGCAGAAATTCCATTAGCATCAAAAGTTTGGGATTTTTTTTTTTTTCTTTTACAGAAGGACAACTAAATATGCAAGTATAAACTTCTAAGAATTTTCAGTAGTCCCTGTTTTGGGGCCTCAGTGTATTTGGGGTTACCATGATGTGTTTGGAGTTAATGTGATTTTAAAAAAGAGGGGGAGTTATTTCCAGCCAAAAGGAAAGTTCTGTCTCCATTAATCTTAGAACAGTGAAGCAGAACTGGATTTGTTTTAGCCTGTTAGAAAAAGATGTTGTTCTGCAGCGGTACCGCAAGAGGGTGGTTAAAGAGAGCCTGAAACACGTGTAGGCTGTGCTGGAAGAGGGGACAGCTCTGCTGTTCTGGGCAAGGTGAATGTAGCTGTAAATTGTTTTTATGAGTCTGCTGCATGAGGAGCTCTCCTGTTCCCTGCTTGAGTGACAGAAATCCCAGTGGTGCAGTGGCAGACGCTGCTCAGGCTAACTAAGGAGTGACCTTACTTTGTCACATTTAATACAAGGGACTAGAAGTGGTCTGTACCCAGAGCATGCCGCTCGATAGAGGCAATTGTATTTTGGAGAGTTAGGTTTAAATTGCATGGTGCTACAGACCAGCAACAAAGCACATTGTGCTTGTGTTAAGGAAATAAAAGATGCTTCTCTGTGGCAAATAGTAGACACAGAATGAGTTAGTGTATGTCAGCTCAAGGAGCTGGACTCAATGATCCTTGTGGGTCCCTTCCAACTCAGGAGATTTTATGATTCTATTCTATGACCTCCTCAAAGTCTCAGCACATCTGTCTGGTTCTCCCATTACCTGCTTTTTGAAAGGAGTAGCCAAGGACTAAGCAAGATAATTGCTTCATTTGAAGATGGGGAAAGAAATTAATGCCAGGTTTTCTAAGGACATAGATGAAAATGGTTTATTGAAAATCACCAGAGCTATCTGCATC